AAGGGCTTTTTGTATTACGGTCACTCTTGTTTTTTTTCTAGATTTATGGACATTATTTTTTCTTCGAAGCGCCTCATGCATTTGACGATTATTGAAAGATCCGAACTTTTCATGATTATTTAATCCAGCAAAACCACTTTTGCCATAATTGTCGAAATTGATTTGTCCCTTCCTATGTAATGGCACGAATGTATTTTCTGTACGTTTTTTGGGTGATTTTTTACTATTCGTTGCATCATTATTTAGTCCTCTCTCGTTTACACCTACCACGACTTCAATTTTTATTGAAAATACATTTCCATCCTGTTCCTTTTTTTCAGCAAGATCACCTGTCAAGAAAAAAGTAAAGATTATAATAGACTACCAACTATGACAATGACTGATATAGAATCGCCACATCCTTCCAAATGAATGCCACATAAGATAACTTAAAAGTAAATTTCTAAAAAGACGAAAAAGAAACACTAGCGATAAAACGCACATCAAAATAGACTGGTCATGTGATTTACCACCATAACAAAACAATATCCACGAGAAAGAGTCTCCTAGAGTTGGAAAGATGCGTAATTATCGGTATTCATTACTGGAAATATCGTAATTTAATTTCCTTGCCTGACAGTTTCTTCAGGATCTATGAAACTGCAATTGAAAGAGAATACGTCTGTCCTTGGGGAACTATGACTAACAAGAACAACACTTGGCCAGACCTTTAAATACAAACAGATAGATACTTTTGTCTTGACCGACAATACGTTATAAATATGAACAGATATAAGACTAGTTACCTAGTTTTGTAGGCACGTTTCAAATAACTCCAAGAGTAGCATGAGGATTGTCATATTGGAGACAATAACTAGTCCAAAACTTCTTATCTCAGACATAAACATGAAAGTTCAAACTGTTAAGAATACCTAGGTATTGAAAATGTGTAATGTGGCGTGGTGAACGGTGTTTTACTTTTGCTTTGACCGACAATGGGTTATAAATATGGAAAAAGAAACAATAATTTTCCACGGTATTTGACAGTTCAAGCTGTAGTAAATAGTGCAATGATAATAGATACATTCTTTAGAAGGTAAAATAATATCCACAATGTAATTAAATATTATTGCAGATCGTGCCTTCACCGCATTTCTGCTTTTGTTTTGTTTTTTACATTTATTAACGCTGGTTTTAAGGCGATAATGAATCTAGTTGGTTTAAAGATCAAAACGTGTGAAACACGATCAACGGTCAGTATCCTATATCAAGTCATATTTTTTCATCATCAAATTTTGTCACCAACGTTTCTGAACACGCATCATCTCGTGTCAAATTTAAACTTTTTTAGAATCTGAGATGTGACTAAAACGTACCTTTGCATGAATTTAACGTGGAAGCTCCCGTGTTTGTGCACGTCCCTCTTGGGCATCGGAAGCACTCCGTTAAGCCGTACAGATCACCATAATGATCTTGTGAACAAGGAACGCGTCATATTTCCATGATTCCTTTAAACTATCCTGGATGGCATGGATCTGAGAAATGGATCTTTAGATGTAAATTTTGTAAACTTTCACAACTAAAATAAATCCACTGCTTAGTTTATTCAAAGGAGTTTTTTATTTTAATGA